TCCATCCCTCCCTCTCTCTCTCTCTCCCTCTCTCCCTCTCTCCCTCCCTCCCTCTCCCTCCCTCTCTCTCCCTCTCCCTCCCCCCCCCTCTCTCTCCTAGTAAACTGGATTCCTTTAAAATGGTATTGATAATTCTGTGGATGTTCTCTAATTGGTCCTTTTTTGTTATGGTGAAGTTACTGTCTGCTATGGGTTCTAGATGTTGCATGACGACCTCCACCATAAGTCCTGCAAGCGATGACCCCATAGATGTACCCTTAATTTGTCTATCAAATTGAAAATGTGTAGTTAAGCAGATGAGATCTATAATCCTCAGTGTTTCAATCTTAATGCAGTGAGTTAAGTCAGGTGTGCAGTGGAATGGATGAGAAACAGTGGACCCATCCTCCCACGCTTCTATGGACACCCGAATTACAAAAACCTGACCTACCCCTCCGTCCAATCATATCACTAGCAGGAACCTCTACAAAAGAATTAACAAAAAAGCTTGGGCACCTCACAAGAGGAAACAAACACTCCATTAACACTCCACTACAGTGCCTTCAAGCAATCAGGGATGTAACTATAAATGAAGACAAAATCATGGCCTCATTTGATGTCACAGCCATGTTCACATCCATAGATCCAGAATTAGCCAAAGAACCCATGACCACATTGTTTCACAGCACACCTGATTTAACCAAATAGAGGAAGATCGAAACAATCTTGACATATCCTTTTAATTTCCTTGAATCTATAAACTGATAAAATGCTAAACAGAATTATATAGAGTTTAAAAGATACCTAAACTTCTATAAGACTTCAGAACTTCAAATAATTGCAGTTACAGAATGATAGTTGAAGTAAAGATACATAGGTAAAATATTATGGAAACATACAAAGTGATAGTTAATTCTTAATCGGCAACATTCTTTTAATAAATATAGTAAGTTGAGTTTAGGTACACAACTTTGTAAAGAAATTATTAGAATAAATTCAGAATTGATCATCTATAATCAATTAAATACAATTTAGTTTTTTTTCTTGATTCCAGGGATGGACTACTGTTACGAACCAAATCTGAAGATATGATATCTCAGCTTCACACCAATCTTTTGGGAACCATGCTGACATGTAAAATTGCTGTAAAGAGTATGATTCAACAGCAGGGTGGTGCTATTGTTAATGTTGGTATGTATACCTAAGCAAACTGATTCATTATTTTAGTACTACATTTAATACATTATTTTTCTGGAAATAATGTAAGCAGTGTTTAAAATATGTCAGTATATTCATGAAGTGGAATAGAGCTTGGTAACAAGGTCAGCCAATGAATAGGCATAGCAACTAAGCCAGCCAGTGAGGACTGTTTTGGAAACTGAAACTAGAAGTAGCCTAGGCTGGAAACTGAAACTAAAAGTAGCTTAGGGGTGGCTCTATGTTAAGCTCTGAAACTCTGCAGCTATGTGAAGCTCTGAGTCTGTCTATTGAAGATGAAAACTAATTTGCTTGCTTGCTGAAGACTGGAGCTCTGCTCTGAACTTGCAACATGTTTGTCTGAGTTTGCTCCATGTTGGAGAAATCTACAACTGGTTTGTAAAATCTACTTATGTTTATAAAGATGTTAAATGAACCATCAGCCATCTGTGTTTATTTTTCTGGCGCTGAATTATCGCTGCGAAACTCTCAATAATAAGTTATATAAGTTAATATATGTGAAAGTTGTTATGAAAGTTATCCCTAATATTTTGGGTCTAAAATTCTCCTTTGTATGTGGTATCTTTTACCTACAGAAAGTACATTTCAGGATAAACTGATACTTTACAGAATAACAGAGTTGGGAGAGACTTTGGAGGTTGTCCAGTTCAATCCTCTACTCAATCAGGAAACCCTATACCATTTCAAACAAATGGTTGTCCAATATTTCTTAAAAATCTCCACTGTTGGAGCAACCACAACATCTGGAGACAAGTCACTCCACATCCATAATTGTTTTGTTAGGAAATTTCTCCTTAGTTCTAGATTGCTTCTCACCTTGATTAGTTTTCATCCATTGCTTCTTGTCCTGCCTTCAGGTGCTTTGGAAAATAGGTTGACTCCCTCTTCTTTGTGGCAACCCCATAGATACTAGAACAGTGCTAACATGCCATCCCTAGTCCTTTTCATTAAACTAAGCATACATAATTCTTGCAACCGTTTTTCATATATTTTAGGCTCCAGTTCCCTAATCATCTTTGTTGCCTTTTTCTGCACTCTTTCTGAACATCTTTTTTTTTTATCGTGGTGACCAAAACTCGGTGTAGTATTCCAAATATGGTCTTACCCTGGCATTAAAGTGGTCCTAACTCTTCACTTCTTGTGCAAGCCTCGATGAAGAAGAAGCATGAAAATTAGTTCAAAACCTTTATTGTCATTGTACATCATGTATACAACGAAATTGGTTTAGTCTCTACTGGTGCAGTCCATGCAAGAATACAAGACAACATGAATGATATAAAGAATAATCCTTATACAAGTAGTTAAGAAAAAAAATACTTTAGAAATTACAGCTCTGTATAATGACTATTGTAGCTAAGCTTAATAGGGGAAAAGTTATTTGTACTGTGCGGGAAGCATGCAGCTATGTGCAAACCTTTAAAAGCATTTTTATTTTAAGAGGTGCCATCAATTGAAATATACCTGGTTATGCAGGCTCCAAATTACATTTTCCACTGCAATTCCAGATCCCTACCTCTGCACATTTGGAAAAGAAACAAGAAAGAACAGTTGGCCCTCATAAGCCTTCAGATCCAGACCATTATTTCAGTTATAATTTATTTTACATTATTGTACCAACTCTATGGAGAGATTCTCATGTAAGTTTCCTTTTATTATTTATTTTCATACTATGTATCTAAGAGAAGAATTTTTTTAGCTGGAGGGGCATGTTTGCTCTAATGAACAATTAGAATAATTGGAATAATTAGAAAATGAGGGAAGGAAGCTTCTGTAGGGTAGGAGGCTGCTATCGATGAGGCAGCAATGGCTGTAAAGAGCTCTTTCAAAATTAAACAGATTTTTCTTTTCTTTTTTAAACTTTTATATTTTTTTGTAATTTTACTTCACTTTTAACCCGTTTTAACCCATATCTGATTTTACAAAAGCACTTATAAAGAGGTTACCTCTATTCGCTTTAGATACATTTTAACAATACTACAAGCCAGGATTTTTAAGAATGGGGAAAAAGAGAAAGAGACAGTAGTCTGCAGCAGAGCTCATCCAAGCTATTGAAGCAGCAGAAAATGGAAGATTATGCTGCAAACAGACAGTCTGCTCCAGTAAGTAACTCATTTGCAGTCTCCTTATCAGATAAATCTAATTTATGTGATTCATTGGAATGGGACTTACAAACCTAACTTGAAAGCAAACAGAACACACACTCTCTCTCTGTCTCTCTCTCTGTCTCTCTCTCTCTCTCTCAGAAAATGGCTCCCCTCCTTAGAACTCAGCAGCCATTTTCCTTGCACAGGAGGGGAATGTAATAAATTTAAAAAGGGGAAATGTAACAGATTTCCCCTCTAGACAATGTTTGCTTACAGCTCAAATTGTAAATTCAATCTATGACCTTTTATCAACTGTCATAAAGAAGGTTGACTGCTTCAAAGAGTCTTTTGCAAAGTTTATTAAGAGCCACCCAAATACTGCAGGAAGATGCTTACCAATAGATACGGGATGGCTAATTCAGGAACTGAAACTGGAGCAGGCCTTTTTTTTTCCTTCCAAAAATGTGAAAGGGAAGAACACTCATAAAGGCCTAAGAGATGACCAATATAACTATAGTCTGCAGACTAACTAGGTTATCTTGCAAATTTATGACAACAGAATTGAATAGAGGGTGTTGGAGTGATAGAAAAGCTGTTAGGATGTCTCTGAGCCAGCTGCTCCACTGTGAATTCACTCTGATAGATCTACTATGCACAGAATGGCTGCAAGTGAAAAGGCAATGTATGAAAATTTTGTTCTTGTTCAAGCAGTCCACAATTCCCTCTATGCTCTTTAGAATGAAGTCTTTCCACAGCACCTTTTCAATATTTCCAATATGGGTCCTTTGCTCAGACAAAATATGCCCATTTCTGAACCAGTCTCTCTAAGAGGGAACTGTTGCTTTAAAACCAAGCTGCAACAGCCTTCATACTGATAAGCCTGGAGCTGCCGCAACTGAATTGACCCTCAGAAAGCAAAGGAGTGATCTACAAACAGCTGCAGAAACTGCTGAGGATGTGCCAGAATAAATGCTGATTGACCTATTCAGTGCATTGCCGGAACCTAAGCAAGTTAATATTTTTCAAAGATTGGATGAACTAAAAGATGCTGATAACCCAATCTACAGGAAAGTCTCTATTTAATTTGGCTCCACCAGTCACTCAGCCTTGTGACAATATATTTATCCAACAATCTGCCATTACTTCAATAGTAAAAGAAGATAACCTCACACAGGCTGACAGTTGGGTAACTGCACTGACTGACCCAGACTGAGAAACAGCTGACAGAAAATTGTTCCATGTACAGTGGACATCCTAAGCAGGCAAATACTAAGGATATAATCCATTCTCCACCCTCATTTGAGTCGGAAATGCCCTCAAAATCTTCTCACAAGATGAATCCCCTGCTACATCTCTCCAAAAATGGACATAAATCTACATGGGTTCTGGACATGGGTTTTGCTGAGATAATTACTAAAGGTGAAGACACTCTAATCCAGCCACTAGCTGACGATCAGAGCAGAGGCATGCCTCAGTGCCCCACACAAATGTGGAGGCTACCCTTGATGTTGATGATTACCCCAAAGACTCACAAAATATACTAAATTAAATGCATCAATTAACAGTATCTAGCTTTTGGTGTCAACATTACCCAGCATAATTATCTTCCAACAAACGCCCCTACTGAGAATTCATACTGACAATACGAAGACCAGTGCAAGAAAAATATCTTAAGCATTTTGTCATGGAATGTAGCTGAGTGGTACCATTTTAGAGGCCTAAATTACTCTGATCCCTGTTAGATAAGGATATCATTTTGGTGTTAGAGACTTGGACCGATGATGACCTCGTGCTAAATGGTTATCACTCATATAAGCTAGAAACAAGGCCAGACAGAGGCCCAGGAAGACTGAAGGGAAGGCTGGGTATATTTATTTCTACCAGCTTGAGAGCAGACCACTCTTATTGTCCCTTTAAAACATATGGCTATGGCCCTTCTCAAGATGGACTCAGTCCTGCTTTTAATAATTGTTTATCTTCCACCATTGCTAAGAAAAGCTGAAACCAATGCAGGATGGATGGAGTTGGAACACTATATTAGTAAACTCCACATGGACCATCCAAAAGCCAGGCTCTTACTAGGGGGAGGCTTCAGTGCTAGATTGGGACCAGATCATTATATAAAATATCAATATCCACCATCGGAGGTTGCCATACAAACCAGCACCTTCCTCACATGACTTTCTAAAGACAATAGAGCAAATTACATTGGCCTCTGTCTTGCAAAGATGGTGAATAAACAGCTTTTATATCCAATGGCTCTTGGGCTGGCTACTATCCTAACGAGATTAAATTTATGGCAGGGTCCAAAACCAGCACCATTTTTTTCCCCAAAGTTTTTTTTATTTTTTACACATCTCTTCACATGAGCAACGTGGTTCCAGATTACAATATTTATACGTAGTCATAGTTACATTTTTAACTTTCTTAATATCATCTCAAATTATTATCCATTCAACTAATCTTTAGATAAATTTCCCTTTCATATTTCAATTCATTAATTCAATATCAGAATGATTTCATCCTCACATATATTTTCAATTCTTTATCCCATATTATTTCCATTTTCAGCTTACCATCTATTTTATGTTACATTATGTATTATTATCTATAACTTTCTCAAGACCAATATATAATTAGACAGTCAATGAAAGAAAAAAACGAGTAAAAGTAAAGTAAGATTAATACATTTAGGATCCACATGGTATACCCCCCCCCATCTACGATATATCTTCTACATATTCCAGAGATATTCATATAATCATTTCATATTTTTTTCTTTGTTTCCACTTAACCAAAAATATAATACATTCATTATAAATATTTTACATTCCTACATAATCCCTTCTAGTTAATTATGTTTTCTATTTTCTCATATCCTTTGTACTGTATAATCAATTGCATTTTCTATTACATGTATACCACAAATTTTATATTATTTATATTATTTTAATTTTATATTATTTCAAGTATGTATAAAAACAAAAACTACAGAGAAGGTTATTATATTTATATCCTGTTAATTCACCACAGTTACTGTTGATATATTGTCTATGGAGATTCTTAGTCGCCAGGTCATGGTTGTCCCAAAGGTGCTTTTCAAGAGACAACTGGACTTTATGGTTTTTTCTTTGAAGACATTTGGCTTCTCATCCAAGAAGTTTCTTCAGCTCTGACTGGAGGATTGGGAATGGAAGGATACTCTTTGCATACAGCTGGTAATTTGCATTCTTTTAGCAGGTTGTTCAGGTCATTGAAGGTTTGTCTGTTGTCATCAGAGTCACCGGAGTAGTGCCAATTGGTGTGGAACCTTCTTGGAACTGTTGAAAGGACTGTGTTGTAGATTGGAGATAGACGATGTGGTATCCCTACCCCTCTGTCACAGCCCTCTCTCAACAGAGTTTCTTGGATACCAGCCAAACATCTTCAGAGTAAAAACCAGAAAGTCCAGTTGCTTCTTGAAAAATTGTGACATGTTGGTATATTGATTTAAATCTTTGAGTGTGCATTGGGTACATGTTATTTTATACAAATGACAGCTTGAATCTTCATTGTAAGTCCTTCAAATAAATTGAATAAAATGGGCAATTTTTAAAATTAAAAGTTATCAACATTCAATACTGTTGTTGTAAATTGAATTTGTATCATTACAATTTTTAAACTTGGGCTTTATTTTTATGTTTATTTTAGGAAGTATTGTTGGATTAAAAGGTGGTGCAGGTCAAAGTGCATATAGTGCTAGCAAAGCAGGATTAGTTGGATTTTCACGCTCTTTTGCCAAAGAAGTAGCACGAAAGAACATTCAAGTCAACATGGTTGCTCCAGGTGAGTTTTGGGTTCAGTTGCTTATGCTTTGTCACATAAGATTCAATATTTTTAGAACATGAAAGTCTCAAAACATGGGTACATAGTATATAAAAGATGGGGTGGTTATTTCTCAAAAATTTCTATCGCACAATTGTATCAGCTTCATATTTAGTAGTTAAAGAAAATTAAAATGGTTGCTAGTAGTACTTGTAGTGTATACATTTTTTTCCAGATAATGACGAATTTACTTCAGTGACAGTCCTGACATACACACGTATATGGAAGACACCTGAGGTGGTCACACAAGGGTTTTTTTGAGATCCTGCCAAATGGTGTTAGATAGCAGGAATAAATACTGGATACCTGAAAGTATGTCCATATATAATATAAATGCATATGTACATTTTAAAGAAAAAGCGAAGATACGGTAGTACTGTGCTTGAGCAACACATATTGGTACATATAAATAGATTCCTCGTGTATTGTTTTCATATTAATACCATTTTTAAACTATACTATGAACAATTATTAGACATTGTATTTTTGAAGATTATGGTAATTTCATTATTGAACAGCTACAGTGCTCTCGATCAATCCGAAATGTTAATAAACCTCAAATCTGAATATTTCAGAAAGTAAAACTGAGGATTTGCCTTTCTTAGGAAAATATCTATGTGCCCAATTATTGGGCAATTATTAGTGTGCAGAATATTATGCAACTAGATGAAAAATGAAAATTTGCCCATCAAACTTGTTTATTTTCATCTGTTAAAGTGAGAATAATAAACAAAGAACTCAAAATTTACAAATAAACATTTCTGATGGTTCCAAAAAAAAAATCAGTGACCAATATAGCCAGCCTTTTTTCAATAACAGTCATGAGCCTTCCATTCCTGGAGTCTGTCAGTTTCTGAATCTGTTGACAGTCAACTTTTTGTGCAGCAGCAATCACAGCTTTCTAGACACTCTTCACAGAGGTGTACTGTTTTGCTTTACCATAAATCTCCCATTTAAGAAGAACCCACAAGTTCTCAATAGGGTTTAGATCAAGTGAGGAAGGGGGGCATATTGTTAAGGCATTTACTTAAGGTATTTACTGGTTAGCCATGCAGTGGAGTATTTTGATGCATGCGATGGAGCACTGTCCTCATAAAAATCATGGTCATCTGGAAAGATGCAGACTTTTTCCTCTAGCACAGTGTCTTCTAACAACTGGCAGTAGGTTTGGGAGTTGATTTTGAGTCCATCTTCAATCTGAAAAGGTCCATCTAGCTCATCTTTCAAAATACCAGCACATACCAGTAAACACCCCTCCCCCTTTGCTGGCATCTGAGTCGAAGTGGAGCTCTGTAGCAGTTACTGGTCCAGCAACGGGTCCATCCATCTTGTCTGTAAAGAGCCACTCTCATCTCATCAGTCCATTAAACCTTTGAAAAATCTGTCGTCAGATATTTCTTGGCCCAGTCTTACCATTTCAACTTATGTGTCTTGTTCAGTGGTGGTCGGGTTTCAGCCTTCCTTACCTTGGCCATATCTCTGAACACTGAACACCTTGTACTTCTGGGCACTCTAGGTAGGTTGCATTTCTGGAATATGACAGCAACGGAGGATAATGGGTTCCTGGTAGCTTCACATTGGATTCTTCTCAAATCTTTGACAGTTAATTTGCATCTTTTTTTCTCAACATGTTTCTTGTGACCCTGTTGATTATTTGCAACAAAACGTTTGATGGTTCTGTGATCATACCCCATTGTCTTAGTAATTTCAAGAGTGCTGCATCCCTCTGAAGGACAATTTTTGACTTTTTAGAGTCAGTTAAAGCTCTTTTTTAGTCTGTGTATGAGTGCCTTTTTCACTTCAAACTTGAATATGCTGCCAAGGATTGATAAATTATCTGTTCTGGCCAAACTTTATGTAAAGGAAATTTTATTTAATTCTGCAATGCATAATGGATTAAATAACTTTCTCCTAATTTGGATGCAATGTTTTTTTTCTTGAAATGACTCCTAGTTGTCCAGCTGTGATATATACTGGTAAATTTTGAAGTCATATGACACTAAAGCCAGGAGAATCTTATTTCATAAGCTCCTCTCTCTTCTTTTTTTAGGCTTCATTCATACAGATATGACAGCCCATTTGAAAGAAGAAGAGCTGAAAAAAACAATTCCCCTTGGAAGATTTGGGCAGCCACAGGAGGTTGCCCAAAGTATTGCATTCCTTTTAGAAACTCCTTATGTAACAGGTCACGTTTTGGTTGTAGATGGAGGCTTGCAGCTTCTAATTTAAACACTATGAATTCTACATGAAAAGATATTCAGCAATTCTAAACATCCCCGAAGAGATCTAAGCAATATCCTTATTATATTTTAACTCAAATTAAAAAAAAGAAAAGATAACAAGGTTCCATTTTAGTTGTGTTTGAAAATAGAAGATTAAAATAAATATATTCTAAAATCTATTAATATTGTATTTTTCTGTTTTAGGAGTTTTGACAGCCATGCACACACATACACACACACACACTCCCTTCTAACCCTGCTGGAGCAGGTCATTGGACTAGAATCGGCAAAGCATCTCTGATTAGATTTTAGCAGTGAATAAAATCTAATCAGAGATGCTTTGCTGATTCTTGTTGATTTGTTTTATTTGTGTCTCTTTATTTTATGTTGCTGAATTGCATTGACATGTGTGTCCCTTCTTGTGCCCAACCCAGAAGCTTTTGTGATTCTTTGCAGCAAAAATTACCGACCTCTGGCTTTGCTCTACTTTTCAAACTTGCCGCCACTGCCGCGTTCTAGGTGCTGGCCTCGCAGGTCCACCCCATTGAGCCCACTGCACTGGAGGGACCTGCCCAAGCAAGTCAAGTCAATGGGGTGAGCCTGAGAGAGGGAAAGAGAAAAAAGAGAGAGAAAGAGAGAAGGAAGGAAAAGAAAGAGAAAAGGAAAAGAAAGAAAAAGGGACAAAGAAAGAGGGGGGTGGGTGGAAGGAAGGGATAGAAAGACAAAGAAATAAAGAAGGAGGGAGGGAGGAGAAAGATGAGATATCTATTCTAGTCCAATCACCTGCTCCAGCAGGGTTAGAAGGGAGTGTGTGTGTGTTCTCCTTGTAATTTACCAGTACATTTTGGTTTTGCCTTCTTCAGAATTGGCACTGTAATACATTGGGGAAAAGTAATTTTTAGGGTAGAGATCTGGTCCAATGGATCCTGTTTAAAGCCTCAACAAAATGTGAGAGCTTCCTGATAGTCTTGACCATGTTTCGTCCACAAAACCTTTAATAGAAGCCAAAGATGTTTCAATGTGCTGGCAAAGATGCTAGCAAAGATGTTTCAATGTGGAAAAGGGATTCAGTCTAAACTAGGCCTCATTTCAATCTGTAACATCAGCTCTCTCTCTCTCTCTCCCTCCCTCCCTCTCCCTCTCCCTCCCCCCCCTTGTCCCTTTTTCTCGCAATATTGTGGCAGCAGCTCCTCTGCATTCAGAACTCCATCCCAGCCCTTTCTTAAGGAGGGAGGGGGGTACAGAAAAGTCCCCGCCTTGTCCATAAATGAGACAAGGGTGGGTGGGGAGCAGAGAAATTAACAAGAGAAATATCATGTAGGGTGATGATAGGGTGGGGGAGGTTATCTGCATAGCCTGCCCCCCTCCGGTGAGAACATGAAGAAATGGATGGACAGATACAGAAATAATGACCACAACAGCTAGCACAACGGGATGAGCGCCCCAGAACGTTGGTCACCTTGTCTTCTCCTCTAGAGGAGGAGGAGGAGGAGTCCCCACTTCCTTTTTTATGCAGCAAGCTTTTCTGCTGCTGTTGCTTCGGTGGCCGTCGCCTCTCACAAGCCCATTGTTCGCCCCAGCACAAGCACTGGACCAGAGCAGCCCTCGCGGTGCCAGCTCCAGGCTGGCGCGAGAGGAGTGCAGGTGGAAAAAGAGCCACCTCCTCGCCACGTCCATGTCTACTCTAGCTTTGCTCTACTTTCCCAATGTGCCGCCGCCACGTTTGAGACGCTGGCCCTGCAGGTCCACTCCATTGAGCCCGCTGCACCAGAGGGAGCTGCCCAAGCAAGTCCGAATGGAGCGGTGCACCAAGTCAATGGGGTGAGCTTGAAAGAAGGAAAGAGAGAGAGAACTGGTAGAATCCCACCCCGAATTGCGCCCTGCGAGGGGCCCACCTCTAGCACCCCCCTGCCAGCCCCCTTGCCTCTTAGTGCCCCCCTAAGGCATCCCACCACCTGCTTTGGGAACCAGTGATCTAAACAGTTTGCCAAGATTCTACCTCTGACAATGGAGGTAGTGTCAGTGGTGACAATGGAGAAACACATGTTCTCACCTCTATTCATACAGTTTCAGCCTAGCAGGACATTTTACCTTGAAAGCATGGATGTCAAACTCCACCAAGACTAAAGGTAAATTAAAATGTATGGGCAGAACAAATATTTGTTTACTGGAAATGTGTGAGAATATTTATTCAAAACAAGTTGGAATAGTACAGGTAGTCCTTAATTTACGACCATAATTGAGTCCAAAATTTATGTTGCTAAGTGAGAAATTTGTTAAGTGAGTTTTGACCCATTTATAACTTCTGCCACATTTGTTAAGTGAATCACTGCAGTTCTTAAACTGCAGTTGTTAAATGAGCCTGGTTTCCCAAGATTCCCACTTTTGGGAATTCCCAATTTAAAGATCCTGAGAGAGTCTCCAGTTGGCCCACTGACATAAAACCAGTTCTCACCAACTTAACACAGCCTACTCAGATGCCTCCGAGAGAGAGCTGTAACCTAATGATGTCTGGGACTGAGAAGAAAGCTGATGTCATGGTGAAGCTTGGGGCTGCTCCTCTGTGGGAAGCACCAGTAACTGCCCAGGCAGACTCCGGGGCACAAGCAGTGGTGACGCAATCCAAAGTGAGATTGGAGAAGGCAGAGCAGCCACTGGTGTAGAATGAAGGAGCCATGGCAGGATCCTCCTACCCCAACCAGAAGATCCAATGGCTGGCAGGATGGGAAAGGCAGAAGCCGAGGCGGAATTATCCTTGGTACTGCCAGGGGTTGCCATGATTCATGGGTGTAAGTGGAAGGCCAGGAGGGCTGCAGAATGGGAACAGCCAGGGGAGTGGAAATTCCTGACCATGTGACACAGCCCTTCAGTAGAGCAACTGCAAGAGAGGTTTGTCAGAACGGAGGTACATGGTGTGGCATTGATACGCCATCAACCCTGGGAACAATGTTTGGGACCGGCCAGGTGTCAGCAACACTGTTCCCTTCTCCACCCCAACCAGTGGGATTGAGGAGTGAGATAAGGAGCTGTGGGTCCCTGAGGGAGGGCTGCTTTCCCCCCTCCAGCAGCTGTGGGGTGAGACCCAGAGGTTCCTGCAGTAGTAGGAGCTCAGGCTCAAGAAGCCCCACTAGTGGTGGGTTGCCACTGGGCTACATGCTGGTCCAAGATGCCCTGGAACCCCCCCTTCAAGGCTACATTTGATGGATGGCTAGAGAAGCTCACCTATTTCCTGAACCAGGTATGGAATTACTTAGAGAGATATGGAGCAGCTTATCCTGACAAGGTTGCCGGTATAAATGATATTACTTCGAACCTGGAAGGAGAAGCCATAGAGTGGGTGGTGTTTCTCCACAATGAAGGGACTCTGGTGTTGGGAAATGTTGACGCCTTCATGGAGGAGCTTCAAACTAGATTCGGGGATCCCACTCTAGTCCATTAGGCAGAATCCAGAATCTGCTCCATAAGGCAGGGAAACTTACCTGAGTATATTCGGGAATTCCAGAGCCTAGCTGGAAAGCTGAGAGGGTGGTCGGAGAGCTTACTGGTCTATCACTTCTGAGATGGGCTAAATAAGGGACTGTACCAAAGCTGCCTACCCCAGGGGGAATCATAGATGACCTTCGAGCATGATATCAGCTAGTGACCACAATGGGAGTATTGTTGGGAGCATCAGCAACACGCAGCACATGAAAGTCACCCCATTGGAGTAAAGAGAAACACCTCCTGGCATGCAGGAGAGGGGAAGCTCCTCCTACAACCCCCTAAGGAGAGCCCGTGGCGCCCTCCTCGAGCCTGATTCCAATGTGGGGAGGAGAGCCATTGGGCTGCCAATTGCTCAACCCCGCATCCTGTGCTAGCAGAGAGAACCCTGACCCAACCAAAGGCCAAGAAAACTCAGGAAAGCAAAGAAGAAGAAGCGAATGACACAGCAGGTTGTGGAGATCTCTTCACCCATCCAGTGAGATGGAGGGAACTGACCCACTGCAAACCTAACTTGGTCTTCTACGAGAACAGCAGTGAGGAGGAGATTGACCTGATGCCCTTTTGACCAAGGTGGATATTTTAGCGACTTAAATTATTAAGGCAGCCCATGAAGTTCAAGCAAGTAGACGGTTCCCTCACAGGGGAGGTGCCTGTGACTTATCTAACAAAGCCAGTGAAATGGCAGAGTCTATAGAATTGGGATTGTTGTGGCTGAAAAAAATGGAATCCATCAGTTGATTGGGAGAACAAGTGGCGCCTGAAAAATAAAGCGGCAAAGTTGCAGGGGGTGGAGAAGGTGCACAAACTTGGGTGAGCACCATCAGCAGGGAAAGTGAAAGCGGAGTCAGGTCCTTCTCTTCACTAGACTAGCCAAGCCCAGTTCCTATAACTGTTCTTCATATGTTTTAATCTCCAGTTCCCTATTCATCCTGGTTGCTCTTCTCTGCACTTTTTCTAGAGCCTCAACATTTTTTATAATGTGATACGGGGTGAAATTCAACCACTTCGGCCTGAGGTGGTAGGGACAATTTGAATCAGTTTGCCTGATTAAAATCACCCCTAGTTGACCCCGCCCACACCCACCCAGTCGCTGCTCCATTGGGAGCCTGGCAAGAAAAGGGGAAATCGATTTATCTGTCGAGCCTCCCCGTCACCACCTCTTCGCCTAAGGGCATCGCTGGCAGCTGCTTCCTGCGGCTCAGGAGGTCCGCTCCGTGCTTTTCCCGCTGCTGCTCAGACTCCTTAATGCATGGAGACAGGAGCCAGCAGCCACGACACTGGTTTGGTAGGGAGACTGCAGGATTGCCCCACCACTCTGGTCTTCAGCACGTGTTTTCATTTCATGTAGCTTGAATGGACCAGGATATAAGGTATATATGTGGGATTTGTGGGATTCTTAAAATTTGTAATTTTTAAAAAAGTTTTTTAAAATAATGAATTTTAAACTTGAAAGCTCTAATTCTCCAACTATTTTTAGTTTTAGATAAACTAAACTAACAGTGGAAAACTAGCAAAAGTTTAATCATTCTGATATAACATAATTCAATCTGGATAGCACTAGGCTAAGCAACAGATTTTCTGACCTTTTACTGCAAACCGTGACTGGCATCTTCAGAGGCAACTGAGCCAGTCACATTATCAGCCCAATACACCATTAAGGAGTGTTATTGGACACAAAATAAGAGC